AACTTGTTTTCAATAGGATAGAAAACATTCCAAATGTGGAACCAGCCATTATGCCTTCCAACAATCAAAATCCTGTCATAGTAGTTGACTAAGATAAGTTAGTAGCCAACTACTAGACAAAGGGATGGATCTTTTTGTCCTTTGATCAACTACTTCCTCCTGGTAGTCAATTGGTTAAATATACCATGTTTCAGCTGTGAGAAGTCAAATTATAGAAAATTGGGATAGACTACTAGCTGACATTGCTCTCTATTATAAAAGGTAGTCAACTATATAGGTTTTCTATTATTCGACTGATGATAGTTCCAACACTTAGAAACCTTGGAAATTTCAGTCTAAAGGTTTAGAGATCTTTCCCTTAGCTTTCAAAAGTAATATTCACCATTTCAATTCTTATTTTAAGTTTAGGGAAGCCTAGGAACCAAACATATTCTAACCATTGGTCTTTAAGGTTCATCTCAAACAAACAATTACATCTAAATCCTAAAGAAATATGACACTTAGGCTTAAGGGCTTGATGTTCTTTTCCTCTTTGATGAGTTGTTATAGCAGATTTCCAAAGGTTGTTCCATGCTTCTTGTTCTTTCTTTGTCTTCCTCGGAGCTTCCTTCTTCTTGTAAAGAGATAATGATAATATTCAGTTGTTCTCAAGTAAATCTTTTTTCTTGTTCACCAAGATATATCTAACAAATTTTGGCTTAGATAAGCTTACTTGGATTAACTACACCTAGTACACCATTAATACTCTTAATTAATTTGTATAACAATGAGATTGTGGTCATATATAAAATTCAAGTTCATATAATTCGCGGATTTTATTACCTAATTGACAAGGTGGGATGCTTGAATGAGGAAAAATTATAATAAAATAAGTAGGACCAATGAGATGTTATGCCTAATTTTGTTTTGCAATGTATCTTTTTAAGGTCCTATGAGATTTGGATTTGTGGGAGTGAATCTTCCAAGAGGTGTATAAACTTTAATTTTTTATTAGCTTTTTTAAGAGGTACATTTATTTTCTTTGTCGTGGTATTTTTTTTTCTAATAAGATTTCCTTCCATGTTATTATATTTTATTCCTTTAGTTAATTTTCTTGTTTATAAATGTTTATAAACGTAGTCTCATCAACCCAAGTTTTGATTTCAAAACTAGATGGTCCTTTAGTTTATTGATAGTTCTAACTCTTAGAGCAATTAAAGCATCATATTAGACCTTGTAGACATGGTTTTTCCCTTCTAAGAAGAGTCCATAATTCCTGTATTACAATATTGTCAAGGTTTCTCTTAAAAATATCAATGTTTTTTTTTTAATATAAATATTATTTTATTTCAAATTCCAAAGATCAAATATTTGATGTATACATACATAATGCCTGTATCCAATTATCAATGTTTTGTTTTTAATAGAAACTAGTGGAGCCTTGTGTGATGCATGGGAAAAAGATGTTAGGGCTTTAATATTTCTTGCACCATGGAGATATACAACCCGGAGGGTCATCCTTCAAAACCATAAACCTCCCAAACCCATAAATATAGTTCCATGAATTGTGGAAATTATAAATATATTATCCACTAATTATGGAGATTATTAAAAACTCCCAATTATTTATTTGAACAATTGGAAATTTCACAAAATTAAAATAGAAAATTCAGTAAATTTTAGTAAGAAAATTAGAAAAATAAATACTAATGGTCATTGATATGAATAAGGTAATCTTCAGAAAATTTCTGTATTTATGAATAATAAATTACTGAACATGTCAAAATAAATTGATAGTTTTATTACTGTAAGTAAAATAATTTTATGAAACATGAAAATTATTGAACGTGTTAGTAATTATTAACATTTTCATTAAAATAAGATTTCACTAAACTAAATTACTAAAACATGAAAACTTGTTTATGGAAATTACTAAATTAAAATTTCCAAATAATTACCAAAACAAATGTAAATTAGAAAAAATATTATAGGAATTATTAATAATTACCAAATTTTAATTATCAATATCAAGGATCTCCAATAATTTTCCATTTTAATAATTACCAAAAATAAAAGTAAAATACCAACAATTAACTATGAATTAGTAATTAACAATTTCATTATAAAATTATAGATAATTATTTTATTTATTAATTTTACTCATCAATAAATTTCACTAATTATTTACTTATAATTATGATTAGTTAAGTACTGATAATTATCATTATTTATTAACTAATGATAAGTTTAGTAATAATTAGTTCAACAACCTTTTACTGACAACTGTTACTAATAATTATTTCAGTGATTAATAATTTCATAAATTGTTTAATAATAATTATTGCAACAATTAAGTAATGACAATCAATTATTAGTTAATGTAAATCATTTTACTATTTGTTATTAGTAATGGGCCTTAGGCCCATTTTCTTTAATGGTTCACATCCTAAGGTGTTGCATGACCACTTTGGATTTGAATATTGTATGTGTGAGACCCACAAAGGTCTAATGTCCATAAGGGTTCAGCCTTACCTTTGGAAGAGGTTAGGTTGAATTCATTACTCAATGGCAGTGAACCCCTGACTCAATCAGCTTGGACTCAGATTGGGCCCATAATCATCAAAACATTGCCCATATGGAAGGACCTCTTCCCTAATTGCAAAATGTAGTGTCACAACCTCTATTTAGATGGATCTCGAGATTAAAATCTTTAGACCTTTTTCATAAAATGGTAAATCAGATTTCAAATACAGCTGAAATCCACTACTAATAGTTTCAATTTCCATTAGAGAGAGTATAAACCCTGATATTCACTTTATCTGATAAAGTGGTCGATCCTATCACTATGATCCCACTAAAGTAATTTTAGACCTAGCCTCGAAGAGTATGTAATTGTTCAAGAAACCATATGCACAAGTTCCCCAATGAACTGGCATGACTTGAATTGTTATCATAATTAACAAAATACCATGATATATTCATCAGAACCCTAATGTATACAAACATTTCAAGTCCCAAACTACCAATTCATCAACATATGGTTCATTAACAACCAAACTCTTGACATGCTCAAAAAATAACTATCAACTATATAAACCTATACTCTAGTTCTTGTACATAAATATGCCAAAGAACACAACACAACAATGAACAAAATGATTAAGGCCCTCATTGTCTTCAACCCTTCAATAACTACTTGTTGGGAGGACTCCCAACTTTCAAAGGATAATCTGGATCATCTACCAATTTGTGAAGCTCTCTGATAAGGTCGCTTATATGAATCATTGAGCTGCCATCATTAGAATAATTTGTGGAAACTGTCCATCGAAAAAATTACATGACAGAGCTATGCTGCCTTGAATGCATTCAAATGCAATGGAGGTTAGCGCCCCATCAGTGTAGTAAAGATCATTCAACATGAGTTAACTGAATTACTTACAAGACTAACCAAGCAACTATAAAATATCCTATTCGGATTATATTTTGTCTCCAACACTCGAATCACAACCCTTTTTCCACATTTACAATCCTTTGGTTTGTATTTAAGGTGCCTAATGTGTTGACTGTGACTTGTAGACCGAGAAGAAGGCGTCCCTGCACAATATTCATTACAAATCATTCTAATTGAAGCAAGAAAAAAAAAATAGTAGGTACAGCTGTAAAATATCTAATGCTTGCAAGGTCGTTTGTTCAACAGGAGAGACTTTAGAACTTGATGCTTTCCTTGGCCTTTTACAGCAGGTAGACAAACTTTATAACAAGGCAAGAGAAGAGAATGAAGGGAATCGACACACCTTTAGAATCTAATGCTTTCAAGGTTGTTTGTTAGAATGGGAGGCAGCTTCGTCTTTGCACGTTCAGCAGTGAAGAACCCTAGAACCCTTCTTCTTCATTCATCCAGCAATGAAGAAAGCTTCTTCCTCATTTGTTCAGATCATTGAAGAGGGAACAACACTAACTTGCAAGGACAAGGGTAAAATGGTCTAAAAAATTACAAAGGGAAGTTTTTCCATTTTGTAAAATTTTAAGTTACACATGATGTCACATAATAGGGATAATTGTGGGTGAATTAATGGTGTAGGTACTAAATTGCTATGTTTTGAAAGTTTGTGTACCGGATTGATACTTTTTGAAATTCGGGGACCAAAGTATAGGGTATTAATCTACAAATTTCCCTTTATTTTAATCTGACTTTTATAAAATACAGGAACCTAAGGTAAGTATAAACATGCCAATTTTTGTGCATTGCCCTATGAATATATTTAGGGAAAATTCCTGATCAATACTCTGTACTTTGGTTCGATTGACAATTTGGTCCCCAAACTTTCAAAATGTGACAATCCAGTAGTACCCAAACTTTCAAAATGTGACAATCTAGTACCTTTCGTTAACCAGTCTGTTAATCAGCCGTTAAGTGACATTTGAAAAGTCAAAAATGCTTTAAGAGTGCTATCTAATTCTCTTTATTAGCCATCCAAATATTGACAATAAAATGAACAGTTCCAAATTCTAGATTTTTCTAAACAGTCACAAACTTTTTTGAATAGAAGATGCTAGGATTTGGGACTGTTCAAATTTTTGTCAACGTTTAGATGGTTGATAAAGAGAATTAGATGGCATTCGAAGGGCATTTTTGACTTTTGAAATGTCACTTAATGGCTGATTAATGACAGGTACTCGATTGTCACATTTTGAAAGCTCGAGTACTGGATTGTCACATTTCAAAAGTTTGAATACTGGATTGTCGAGGACCAAATTACCACTAGAGCCGAAGGGATTTTTCCATATATTTATTTTATAGTCCCCAAGAAAACGTATGAAATTACAAAACTCCATGTTTTCACACAAGAACCCGTGTTAATCGCTTAAACCGAAAAAAAAAAAAACAAGACCCGTGTTTACCGTTTCATCATTGAAGGACAACTTTGAACGAGACAGAGACTATGAAGCTAAAATCCCCAAAGCGGCTATAAATTTCAGGGCAGATCTCAAACACATCACGCACATTGCCCAGCGACAAAATGGAAATCAAATCTCTTCTTCTTCTCGTTTCTCTCCTAGCTTATTCCTTTATTCTCCTTGATGGAGTCTCTGGCACTGCTAGGCCGTCACGGTCGCTACTAGGTGGATGGAAACCCATTGTAGATGTGGATGATCCATTTATCCATGAGATCGCAGAGTACGCTRTCTCTCAGCACAATAAGGAAGCCAAGACAAAACTCGTACCCAACGAGTTGATTCAGGGTGAGACACAAKCTGCCGGAGGCGGCACCAGTTATCGCCTTATAATTGCAGCAAAGGAAGGCTCGGCTATCAAAAAATACGAGGCTGTTGTCTTGGAGAAGGGTGGGACGCCTTCCAGTCTTACATCTTTCAGACAGATTTAGAGCCCAAAATAAAATTTCTCAGCTTAATTAATTGTAGGTGATAATCTTGAATTTGCTTATGTTGCATGCAGCGGAATTGAATGTCTTCTCCTTTAATTTGGATTAGACATTTTATGCTATCTTGTAAGCATGAATTTCCTTCCAACAAAATCCACCCTCACACCGTTTTCACAGCCCTTGCAGCGTGGTGCATTGGATAAATATTTTCAATACATGGCTGCAAGAGCTGTGAGGACAATGTGAGAACGAAATCTGAATTCCTATATTTTGTACATCTTATTATTTTTTCATAATAAAAAAATTCACCGTGGTTTTATATGTTTTGCACAACATTGTGTCATTCTAATTAAGATAACTGTCGATGAATGTTATCTGCATCCCATCCAATTTAATTGGATTCGAAAAATCCACTACGCTTGTGATGATCCCACCTTTGCAAAGATTATTTTGTTTAGAAAATAACCACGCTACTCTAATAAAATTTAAATTTACATCTAGCTCGCATCCTAGACCATCTAATACATTTTTTATTTCCTCTTATTTCACAATTAGTGGCAAAAGAGAAGTAAATTTTGTTCAGGGCACACCTAAGACACAAAATCATATTTTGTCCACTCCGTCCCAACAGCAAACACTGATACGAAAACACAAAGTTGCAAAATACAGCACCCATCTTTCTTCTTTCTTCTTCTTCTTCTTCTTCTTTTTACTCTCCACCACCCCCTATTCATTTCTTCTTGACTAGAAACACTGCCACTTCCACCACCACTATTGGTTCTTATAGATTTTGTTTGTCATGTTCTGAAAATTTGAAAAGAAATGAGGGGTAAAACAGACATATCTACCCTTCTACCAAGAGATAACGGTGTTGTTTAAATTTTCAAAAAGCTAAGGATACTTTTTAAGGGATTATTAAACCAAAGGAGAATACTTTAATTAGTCCATTGTGCAAAACCGAGAGGTATTTTAAGTATTTTAAGAAAGATGAGTGGAAAGCTGTTCATTTAGTCAACAACCCACAAACTGGTCGCTAGAACAGTTCTATATTGATCTAGAAACTGGTCCCTAAAAGACAAATTTCTTAAACTACCCCTTATGGTTTAGCTAAATAAATAACTCACCCTTACTATTTACATATTCTCTACATTAAAACCTTCCTTCTCATTAATTTTCATGGGTCCTTTCAAGGCAGTCTCTCTCCTCTCTTTAAAAAATTCTGAAAATACTCTTTGAAAGTTCTCTCTCCTCTCTCTCTTCACCTCCTTCGCCTTCGTAGTTGCAACAGCGCGATGGTTCTTCTCCTCTATCTCTCACTCTCTCTCCTCACCTCCATCACCCACTCAAAACTGTGCCTTGCTTCGGCACAAGGAAAAAGGGAAAACACCACGGTTCAGTGCCTCAGTTGCCGACTACCGTCTTCAATTCCGATAGCTTTCGTCTTCGTCTTCGATGCGGTGGGGCTCTTCGGCGACCTCTCCATCGACGGAGTAGTGGAACAGGAGGCGAACAACAAAGGATTCTTAACGCTTCGAGATCCGATTGGTAACTTCTGAGCCTCCGAATCCGAATCCTTCTTGCAGAGGGAGGCACCGTTAGGTTCGGACTCGGAATCCGTGGAACGGTAGTCGTGTGACGGGGATTCTCGGGTGGTATTGCTAGGGTCCGGCAGTGATGATTGTTAGGRGACGATGACTCTAGTGGCTACCAGTACGATCAACTCTGAGAATTCGAAAAGGAATTTTCAGAAGAAAAATTCAGTTTTCTTTTGTGGTGCGCCCTTAGGATTAAAAGGGGAAACATTGCGGACGCACTAGAGGAACACCAAACTCAAGTTAAGTCACCATTGTTGCCGCTCCTCTTCTCTCGTAGAAGAGGATGAAGGGAGATCTACGGAGGGAGAGCCTCAGGATTAAAGGGGGGAAACACTGCTACGCGCTAGAGAAACATCAAACTCGAGTTAAGTCACCACTGCTCCTGCTCCTCTGCTCTCGTCGGAGAGGATGACGAAGGGGGATCTACAGAGGGAGAGGAAGGGCCGAAGGGGTATAGAAAGGGATGATTAATGTGGGAGAATAGAGAGAAGTCGGAGGGAAGGGGATTCTTGCTGCTGTTGTCACTCTCTTCTTCGTCGAAGACGATGAACAGACTCTATCTGCCATCTGATACATTTGAAGAATGTTATGGTTCTCTTCGACATTCCTGTATCCCGGTTCTCTTGGGTGAAGAAGAAGCTGGGAGAGAATGCTAAGGTCGGCTTGATTTTATCGCCATTAACAAAGGACGACTCTCTATACCCCCAACCAGTTGCAATACTCGACCGAAGCATGATCAAGCATGGGAATAAAGCAGCTGTCGAGGTGCTGGCAGGATAACCTTCCAATTGACACCACATTAGAGAGATTTGAAGGCCCCACAAGCAAAGTTTACATTTTGTTTGTACAACAAGCGAACCCACGGCAAGGGAGATTTAATCTGCAACAAGCTTTCACTCTGTTTTATTTTCGTTTTGAATTTTATTGTTAATTTCTTTATTCTTAAAAATTTGTTGGGTATGGTAATGGACCATAACCGTAGAGAGAGAGATGATTTGATTTTGATGGAAATAGATGCTGGTTAGTGCAAAGTTTTCGGTTTGAGCTCGATGAGTGACCATTCAACGGGTAGTTGTTACATGGAAATTTTGTTTTAGTCTATTCCTGTTTGGTTCATGAATGAGAATGAGAATTAAAATCAGGGAATGGTCATTTCTTCAAATGGGGAGAATGGCATTCGAGCAGGAATGGGAATGAGATTCTGATTCTGTCCAACCAAATAGCTGGAATTAAAATAGTCTATTCCGATTCCGATTCCAGACCCCTATTCCTACAAACCAAATGGATGCGCTTTTTGATAAGTTACTTATTTGGGTAAGTGCATTTACTCATGTTCTTTTATTTCCCATTTAAATAAGGCAATGACCATTTTAGCCATAAAAATCCATTATTAAAAGGCGTATTTTTATCCCAATCAAGTGTTGGCAACTTTTTCCCAAATGGGAAAGTTATTTATTCAACTACGAGATGGGTATCACTTACCCGATCCCATATAAATCTGAAAAAAGAATATGGGTTTTCTTGGTCAATGGGAATCAACATCCCATTGACCAGCTTTCCCCCTTCTCAAAATCTGAAAAAAAGAACGCCTCCTAAGAGTATTCTAGTAAGGGTAGAGTTAGTCAATTAGCTAAACCATAAAGGTAGTTTAAGAAATTTGTCCTTTTAAATCCTTGTTCAAAAGAATGGCTTGCCTCTATTTATTCAAAACCTTTCTAGCTTTGTTTAATCTTCTAACTTGCTAATTAAATTTATGTTCTTGAGATAAATAATTACTTAAAACCAAGGTTCAAAGTATCGAAAATGCAAGGTGTATCGGAAAGGTAATTTTAAGAGACGTATCGATATATGCTTTGGAAACGCATAAATATAGACCAAAAATCAAGATATGCATGGATACACTAGAAAATCCAAAAACAAATCCTTAAAAATATGAACAACAATAAAAATGATTTTTATATAATTATAACTAATTTATTTAAACATAAAAATATTCTTTAATGGTTTATGTAAAGTATCGAGATATAATTAGTAACCGTTGAAAAATAATAGAAGAACTAAAATGTATGTGTGTGCATATATACTAATATTTATTAGTTAATATTTTTTGAAGTCAATTATTAGTTAATATTTATTATATAGATTTAGATAATATTTATTATGTATACAAGTTAATATATACCYTAATTTTTAATAAATAAATATAATTTGCATTTATCTTATTATTATATAAATATTAATAACTAAATTTTAGCATTTATTGGGAAACATCCACCAAGGTTGTCATAATAATTAATTAATTATTGTTGTAAGCAAATGACTTGGGTTCGAAACTTGTTACCTTCAGTTTGTGATTTTTAACAAGTTATTTGATTTAAATAACATTTAATGACATATTAAATGCCTAAATTAAATGTAACTCAAATGAGCATTTAATTAAATAATATTAGCATTTAGTGAGGTCTCAAACTTAAAGGCTTAATTAAAATTGATATTAATGAGAGAGAGAAGAGATGAATTAAATTTAAATTTAAAAAGGAGAGGGAAATTAAATTAGGGTGATACATAGTGCCTATTGGCCTGTTTCGGGTTGTATTGGCCGATATTGATGAAAAAATATGAAACCATCTAATTATACATGTTATATGTATCAAAACTCTTCCAAAATGATATGTATCAATCGATACAGACTGACACGTTGCAAAATTTAAAACCTTGCCTAAAACTAATGAACAACTAATTTTGTTTGCATTGCATTTACACTCTAAACAGCAACGTCAAGATATTAACTTCTACGGGAAAAGAATGATCACAACAACATCAAGATGTTACAAAGTCATAAGCATACAAATCGGTGTGAAACACAAAACAATCAACACAAGTCCAGCCACTGATCCATTGTTAAACAATAATTTCACCATCTAAACTAACCCCAAATCCCTATGCACCGACCAAACATACAATTAAAAGTCATCAAATTTTCATAAATGCAGCAGCTAGTCAGCTACTATAAGGAAGTGGAGATGTGGTCCATGCCCTGATATTCTAAGGTGGCAAGATGAAGGGAAAAAAAATAGAAGAGAAACAAAGGTGGCTGGACCAAAAAATACCTATATACCCTCCAATGAGGGATCAAACCACTATAGTTTGCTAGATGAGGAAAGTGAGTTGGTGGTTACAAGAGAGAAGAGAGAAAAAATGGATATCCAATGCATAATGGGTTAAGAGTCCCTAAAATCTAGGAAAGTCCCCTTGAAATGGGCATGGGCTCCAATTTATAGATTTTCGGATTTTTACAAAAAAATTAATAAAGTTAGATGAATCGGCAAAATCAGATATATTTTCAAAAAAATTACAAAAACCGTGAATAGGATAAAAAATTAACCTTTTTAGACCAAATTGTCCTTT